GTGATAGGACCACGAGTAGAATTGCGTCTAAAAGTAGCACGTGCTGGTATCACAAGAAGTTTGGCAGTAAAGCACGTCGTTGTTTGTTACCATGCGACTTTAAAACCTTTTCATCGGGAAACGGAAAGGCCGGCGATCAGTGACGACTGCTGTCGCCGGCGTACAACAACACAGTCGTTTGTTTCGAGTGACGGATAGGAAGACTGGAGCTCAGTTTCTGGTTGACACTGGAGCGGAAGTGAGCGTGATCCCACCCACACCTTCCGAAAAACGCCATCCCAACCCAACTTTGGTACTACAAGCGGCAAATAGATCTGCTATTACTACATATGGGACCAGAATTTTGATCCTAGACATTGGCTTTCATACACCATTCCAGTGGGAATTCGTCATAGCTGACATATCGTCGCCTATCATTGGCATGGATTTCCTTCAACACTACGAACTATTGGTCGACTCTAGTCGCCATAGACTAGTCAGCCGTAATGGTGAATTTTCTATCACCGGTATCGCTACGGAGACAAAAACAATAAACTTAGTCGTAGCTCCAATAAACAACACTTCCGAGTACGATATCCTTCTGCGAGAATTTCCCGAGCTCACTCAAACGGATTACACGAAGTCCTCTCCAAAACACACGGTGACGCACCATATTCTTACAAAAGGTCCTCCAGTCTCATCAAAACCTCGACGCTTAGACCCTAAAAAGCTGCAGATAGCAAAACAGGAATTTGATAAACTTCTAAAGTTGGGAGTTATACGCCCTTCCAAAGCCCATGGTCATCACCCCTGCATATGGTACCTAAAAAAGCATCAGGGGAAATACGGCCTTGCGGTGATTATCGAGCGTTGAATAAGCGTACGGTCCCTGATAAGTATCCAATTCCTCACATACATGATTTTATGAACTCTATGACAAAAGTAAATATTTTTTCCAAGATTGACCTCGTGCGAGCTTACTATCACATTCCTGTGGAACCCAATGATGTTCCTAAGACGGCCATCACTACCCCTTCGGACTATTCGAATTTATTCGTATGCCGTTTGGTTTGACAAATGCTGCTCAAACATTCCAAAGATTTATAGATCAGGTACTCCATGGCTTACCTTTCGTCAGTGCATACATAGATGACTTAATAGTAGCTAGCGCATCTGAAACAGAGCACCTGCAACATCTGAGGACGCTTTTCGAACGACTGCGTGAATATGGCATTACAATCAATCCGCAGAAATGCGAATTTGGCAAGGAATCCCTACAGTTTTTGGGTCACATTGTTAATGCCAACGGTGTTAAACCGGTTCCGCAAGAAGTAGATGCAATTCGAGAATATCCTGTTCCAGACTCGTTTCGAAAGCTGCGAAGATTTCTGGGGTTAATAAACTTCTATCGACGTTTCATACCTAAATGTGCTGAAGTAGCCCAACCGCTGACAGATTTATTGCAAGGACGAGCCAAAGTGTTTCACATGACCCAAGCGGCCCATGATGCTTTTGACAAACTGAAGCTGGCTCTAAGTTCTGAAACTCTTCTCTCTCGTCGTGATTCAGAAGCACCACTAGCCATCATGACAGACGCTTCAAATGTTGCGGTAGGCGCAGTACTACAACAGTTTGTTCACGGTCAGTGGGAACCATTATCTTTCTTCTCGAAACGACTTAATGCTTCTCAATCGCGATACAGTACATTCGGCAGAGAGCTACTGGCGATTTACTTGGCTATCAAGCACTTCAGATATATGCTCGAAGGGTACTCATTTATAGTATTCACCGACCATAAGCCACTCACAAAAGCAATTGATGCAAAGCATGACAACTACTCGCCCCGAGAAATTCGACATTTAGAATTTATTTCACAATTCACTTCAGATATAAGGTATATCAAAGGCAGCAAAAATGAGGCAGCTGATGCTTTGTCTCGTATGTACGTAAACGTCTTAGAACGTGACCGTATTGACCTAGCAGAAATGGCAAAGTTGCAGGCCACGGATGAGGACTTGAAACATTTGAAAAACAATGTGAACACCTCATTACGTCTTGAAGAAGTGACACTTGATGACTCTGTATCCATCACCTGTGATGTATCCAAGGGTAAACCGCGCCCGTTTGTGCCGTTATCAATGAGACGATTAGTCTTCTCTAAGATGCATGGCATTTCACATCCTGGTATTCGAGCTACGGTGAAGTTAATTACTGACCGATACGTCTGGCCAAAGATGAATCGAGATCTTCGACAGTGGTCCAGAGCTTGTTTAGCGTGCCAGCGATCGAAAGTGCAAAGACATATTCTTTCACCTACGGGAAGATTTTCCCACCGGATGGCAGATTTGACCATATACACGTTGACATCGTTGGACCACTACCTCCGTCAAATGGTTTTAGCTACATTTTAACATGTGTAGACCGATTCACGAGATGGCCAGTGGCAATACCTCTGCAGGATATATCTGCCGAAACAGTAGCGAGAAATATCATCCAACACTGGATTTCTAACTTTGGTGTCCCAAGTGTCATCACCACAGATAGAGGTGCGCAGTTCGAGAGTAGTCTATTTCAACAGTTAACTGAACTTCTCGGGATCAAGCGCATAAGAACCACTGCGTACCATCCTGCATCCAATGGTATTGTCGAAAGGTTCCATCGACAACTAAAAGCAGCACTGATGGCAGTAAAGACTGATGACAAGTGGAGTGACAAATTACCACTAGTACTCCTTGGTATACGTTCGAGTGTCAAGCAGGACATTGGCTGCTGTACTGCTGAGTTAGTTTATGGAACTACTTTAAGATTGCCAGGAGAGTATTTTAACCCGGCAACAGACGTTCCACCGGACTTGACTAACTATGTACAACAACTACGGCGACACATGAGCACACTTCGACCTCAGTCCCCACGATACCGAGACAACCAAGTTTACGTACCTCAGTGCATCTCAAACTGCACTCACGTTTTCGTCCGACACGACGGCGTACGAAAACCCTTACAGCCCCCGTATGAAGGACCTTTCAAGGTAATTAGTAAATCAGACAAAGTTGTCACGGTCGAACGCTCGGGTAGACGAGAAACGGTCAGCATTGATAGAATCAAACCAGCGTTTATGGAACCAGATGTCACGGATACCAAGTCTGAACCCGCAGTGAAGCAACCGGAAACACCGAAAACCACCGTCAAAACAGAAACAACGGCATCGGAATCACCCAATAGTAGCGACGGTAGCAGAACCACGAGATCCGGAAGAAGAGTCCGTTGGCCACGACGTTACTTTCAGACAATTTACATTTCATAAAACCAATTCCCTAGTAACATTATTATCGTTTTTGCTCATTACCTTGTTGAAAACATGACCACACGATTTTGTCAGACTTTTCCGCACACACAAAACAAAAATTTTTTTCCGGGCACCACGGACTTCCGAATCTCTTATTTCTTAACAATGTTCCAGGTAATACGATTTTGGTTGTTAATTTTTTTATCTCCGGATATATTATTACTTTGGTAAAGTTATTTTAGTGTTTCGAATGTCATACACTTCTTTTTTATGTAAACACTCTTCCAATCAGTTTTCATCCTGATAATAGATATCCTTAACATTCCTTCTATGTTTTTAATATCTTCAAAATGAATTTACCTTTCTCATAATATTTTATATCGAACACAGATATTCCCTCTTATATCTGTATTCTGGGGAGGGACTTATGTAGCATTTTATTTCACTGTATTGTGTTGATATATCTAACAACTCATTGAACATTTTTTGTTTAGTTGTACTGAAAAGGACTTTTTGCTCGCTCGTTGACTAATACAACATCCTGATATATACTTCGCGTTAACTCCTGATATTTACGCTGTCTGACGCAGGTGGATCAGCAGTGTCGGGAATTATAAATAGGCGATAGTGTATCTGGACACGTATATACAATTTGGAGTCACATTTCAGAGCTCGACAAACTTATCCCTGCTGTCGTACCGTAAAAAATGGTTATCCCATACTAGCATTCCGTATCCTTAATAATGATTCCGATACTAATATGTCCTATTTTTTATTTCCTTCCAAGACTGATCATCTCCAAGGGCATGAGGGGGAAATCCCTAAACAACTACTGAATCAACTTATCATGAATCTGCGTTTTTCTCACGGCGTGGTCAACGACTAGAACTTCTTTCATCAACAAGCATTATCATAGCCTTTGATCAGTAAATCTGAAAAGAGACTAGATCCTTACAGAGATATTTTCTGGAAGGATTACCACAGGCCAACTTGCGTACTATCCTTATTGCTGAAAACAAACTGGAATATACATTGACCTCCAGCACATAAAAATGTGCAAGAAGGAACAGATTATCGTGCAAAACTTACTGAATAGTTGCTGACTTTTTTTAACGGAATTCTGTCACAAATAGGCTAGCAGTTGCAATTCAATATTGACGAATATAACAAATGCTTTACTAAAGGCTAAAAGGATGGTATCAACTGAAGCAAGAAAAAACCCAGGGCACAACTGTGAATTTACTAAGTGCGATATGAAGACTAAACTGTGAGCCGTGCATATCGAATTTCGAATATTAAATATGCTTCATCAGTCTTTGCTAATATTGAACGTCGTTACCGTTTATTTTCACACATAATAGTCTATCGAAACGACTGCTCCTATGAGATGAGAATAGGATTATTCTCAATTATCCCAAAAGATAGGAAACAGAGGTCAAACTATGCATCATTGTATATTCGAATAGTGTTTGACGCATTGCAATGACATGTCATTAACCTATATAACAAACTTACTGTAGATAATCTCATTTAGCAGCCACTCAGTTTCATCTCTGCTCTTACATTTTGTGGTTTAATAGTAACAACTGCAGTCAAAAAATGTAACATTGCCTTTTTGGTTAAGAGAATAACCGATATGAATAAACCTTTTTATAAAAATATCATATCGCATGAATAAATTCAAAATATGTCACAAAGGAAGACCAGTAAACAAATATTTTAGAGATTATTATACCTTTTTGTTGTCCTGTCTAGGTTTCAGAGAGATTTTCTCATTTCTTCTCATTTGACCTCACTTTTGAAACGACGCGTCGAATGCTCACCCTAGCAAAGGTCATTGGTTACAAATTAAAGGGACTAAACAAAGTTGCTATGCAATACTAAAGTACTTATTCTGATTTTTACTCTCGGAAGATGGTGGCATTCTATGCCTTATAGTGATCTTCAGCTAACCGCACGAATGTTTTTTGTCTTGTCAGAGCCAATAAACAATTTCTGTTTTCAAACTAGGAACCTCCTATTACAAATACCAAGTAACCGCTTATTTTTATTATTTATTCAACTTATTCCCCCATTCAGTTTGATTCTTTATCATCATTTGAATTTTCGATAGCTTTCAGTAGGGTTGTCAGGGGCAAGATTGGCCTAAATTGCTTAACTACCAAAGGTAATTTAGAGTTTGTGTTCGTGAAGTATTAAATTACATGACTATTTGTACTGGAGAATAATCATGTCCTTCCATTACAGCCCTCAACCTCGCCTGGTTAACTAGTTCACTAGTCACTAACCGGTCCTAAGCCCGGGTATACAGGGAAGGTTGGGCATAGGGCTAGCAACCCTACACCGTAAAACAAATCTAACCGCTAAAGAAACTTCAAAGCACAAACAAAACATAAAAAATAATAAAATTATTCCTCGCTTCAATCGGAGAGGCAAAATGACGCCAGCTGGTGAAAACCTTCGGGAAGCCAATTGGCCGATGTGTCTTCTCTCCCTTGATGAAAAAGTAAGTAAACGTGGGGACATGGAATGTCCGCACCATGTTCGAACCCAGCAAGGCAGCTTAGATTGCAAACGAGATGAAGAGGTATCACACTGAAGTGCTTGGAATTTGCGAAAGCAGATGGAATGGGAGTGGACTCTACAAACTGTCAACTGGAGAATCAATAATCTACTCCGATATTGCCAACCAAACAACAACCACGAGTACACTGAAATTTGGAGTGGCTATCATGATGTCCCCAACACCATCGAAGGCTCTCATGCAGTGGGAACCAATCTCCTCCACAATCACGATCATGACACCAAGGTTCAACTCAAAAGGAAGGAAGGAGGGTCGCAATCACACAATGCTACGCTATGCACCTACAAATAATGCAGAGCAAGGGAAAAAGGGGAAGTTTTACGGACAACTGCAATCAACACTAGACAAGACTCAACTCCAGTTGGCGATATCAAAATTCTAATGCGTGGGGCGACATGAATGCCAAACTGGGAGGGGACAACACAGGACGAGAACTAACCATGGGTCGAGAAGTGCTCGGTGAGGTGATGAACGAGAATGGAGAATTGTTTGCAGAGTCCTGTGCATTCAATGATTTGGTGATTGGAGGCCAGGCACTGTGTTCAAGCACAAGGATAACCACAAAGCGGGTGACATGGATTTCACCAGACACCAGGACACACTGAAAATCAAATCGACTTTATCTCAATCTCAAGAAAGTGGAGATGGAGACGCGGCCTACTGGACACAATATCAAGAAGAGGAGCAGATGTAGGTTCACACCACACACTATCTAGTGCAAGGAACCTACCCTCCAAATCAAGTTGAAAGCCTCCAAAAAAGCTGGTGATAAACCACAGTTCAAGTACAACACTCGGAAACTGAAGGATGAAACTACAAAGGAGATCTTCACGGCAGCCAACAAGACAAAATGGGAGATATCGAGGAAAAACATCTCTGAAGAAACGTGTGTGGAAGAACACTGGAACTCTTTGGAAGAGATGTGGAAAGAAACCTGCACAGCTGTATTAGGAGGGAAGAAGGTGGAAGACAAGGAATGGATCTCGAAGGATACCTGGAAGCTGATAGAGCAGGGAGAGGAGGATGGTGAAACAGAAGATAAACCAGTGCATGGATGCTCAACGACAAGAGGAACTGAGTACAATGTAAAAAACACTGGACAAAGAAGTAAAGAAGAGTGCACGCAAAGACAAAAGACACTTCTACGAAACACTGGCAAGTGATGCAGAACAGGCTGCAGGTAGGAGAGATGGAGACCTGACGACATTGTATCACATAACCAGGTTGCTATCAGGGGAGAGATCAACACAGATGAAACCAATAAAAGGTGATGACGGAAATTTAATTACGAAAGAAGAAAACCAAAGGAAACGATGTGCCGACCACTTCAAAAAGCTCTTGAATTGACCATCACAACCACCTAAACTTCGTCCAGAAATACCACCTGCAGCCCAGCCACAGAACTACAAGCGAACATAAATCCTCCAACAAAAGCGGAAGTCTTGATCGCCATTAAGCTACTGAAATTAGATAAAGCAGCAGGACTAGACGGGATACCACCAGGAGCACTGAAAACAGACGCAGAGACAACAGCGGCAGACATGCTCACACCACTATTGCAGAAGGTGTGGAAGGAAGAGAAGGTACCTGGCCATTGATTGGAAGAAGGGTTACCTTGTCAAACTGCCGAAGAAGGGAGACCTCAGTGCTTGCAAGAACTGGCGCGGAATCACTCTCCTGTCCACCCCAAGTAAAATATTAAGCCGCATCATCCTGGAGAGGCTAAGGGATGCACTGGATTCAAAACTACGACCCGAACAGGCAGGCTTCAGGAAGTACAAATCATGTGCAGACCAAATTGCAACGCTACACTACGCATCATCATAGAACAGAGCATTGAATGGCAATCAGCTCTCTACCTCAACTTCATCGACTTTGAGAAGGCCTTTGACAGCGTCGATCGAGAGGTAATTTGGAAACTGCTTCAATACTACGGAGTACCGCAAACCTTTATCCGCCTCATTCAACAACTATATGAAGATGCCACATGCCAAGTTATTCACAATGGGAAGCTCAGTGATGCTTTTGAAGTGAAGACAGGAGTGAAACAAGGTTGCCTACTGTCACCCATGATACTCCTGATTGTGGTGGACTGGATCATGCAGCAGACAACTGTGGGGAGCGAGAAGAGGGGGATACGCTGGCTGGACTGCGGAAAAGAACCTAGAAGTCTTGGATTTCGCCAATGACATGTGCCTGATGTCACATAAACTTGAAGATCTACAGGCGAAAACTAACAAGTTGACAGAAGAGGTGAGGCAGCGAAGGAAGATGGGACTTCAAGTGAATATAGATAAGACAGAGGTGATGAAGATACTGCACCAACAACAAACTCCAGTCGCCATCAACGGGAGAAACATAAAGGAAGTAGCCTCCTTCACCTATCTAGGAAGCACTGTTTCAACTACGGGCGACACAGGCACAGACGAGGATGTCCAAGTCAGAATCGGAAAAGCAAGACAGGCGTTCATTAGCCTGAAAACAGTGTGGAGATCTTCTGCACTCCACTCAGCATGTGGAACAAGATCCGGATTTTCAACACCAACCCCGTTCATTTCAGTGCTTCTGTATGGTTCAGAGACTTGGCGCGTTACGAAAGGGATTTCCAATAAACTACGGACATTCATCAACAACTGCTCACGCTGGCTGGCTACTGAAGCTCAGATGGATGGCCAGAAAGAATAAGCAACAAGGAGCTCTGGCTGGTGACGAACCAACCAAGAACCTATCACGCAACAAATATGCAGGAGGAAGTGGAGATGGATTGGGTATGTACTGAGAAGGCCGACTGGGGACATCACGCGTCAGGCCAGTTGCTCGAGTGGAATCCCCATGAGAAGCGACGAGTTGGACGTCCTAGCTGAGGGTGACATGGAGGAGGTCGTGCGAGGAGGAAATGAGAGCTTGTGGGCTGTCGTGGAACTAGGTTCAAAAGATCTCAGAGAACAGAGGTCACTGGAGACGTGCTACTGAAGCCCTATGCTCCACTAGGAACCCAAGGGACTGATAATAATAATAATTACAGTCCTCACAGACAGGCAACAAGAGTCACACCTGTGATAAATCACCCGTTACAATGTTGAAGTACGTGAGAGCCAGTCAAACTTTGAACATGAGAAGTAAGTTCCTTCTCTACTGTTTTTAGTCACAATATTACCATCTGAAAGCCATCAGCTTTCCTTCTCCGAGGAAAGCCCTAAACTGCCACTCTGAGATACTGAGCGAGGAAGTATTCCAATCATACATTCGATACTCATTTATTTTCCAGTTAATGGTCATGTAGATTCGACATGAGTGGACCGATTAGTCTATATTATCTTGAAATTGCTGACGTGATCTTCATCTTTGATAAGGTAAGGTACCCTGAAGTCATTTAAGACGCCGAGTACTGAAGTTTCACTCGCCAACAGTGTAGAAGTGAAACTGATCAGTGTGACCCCTGGCAAATTCTTTGAAGTCAGCTGGGAACTCAATTCCCGCGACTCTTTTATCATTGAGAAGGTAATCTTCCGTCTTGTGACTCGACTGATGAGTTTTCCACCGTCGACATACACGATGGTAGTTGTTAAGATCTACGCGTCTAATTAAAGGCTACTATGCAGGAGTGAATTTAGATCTCCAAAATAACCAGTATTCATTGCCGATAAAAGAAGATCTCCTTACTAGACAGGACGATGTTGAGGGCTTCGTAACCAGCTACCCAGGGTGAAGGGTGGAATTTTCGTGGTGCGAGTCAAAATGTCAGAGCACTTCATACCCACACACACTCGGGATTGTAACCTTCCGAAATGGCAATACTCTTCTGGCTTCTAACCAGGAGTTCGAAAGACTCAAATTGACCGCTTGGAACTGCTAGTATTAACACCGCAGCACGAAATCAAAACTTCACAAAGCTCTGATAAAGCAGCGTAGTGAATGACGGAAATAATTAGAATTCAGTAAAGATTTTGCTACAACGTGTCTCAATGAGCAGCTGCCCGTGGACTTCAAGGATCAGAATATTTATGTGGATGAAATGTTGATCATGATTTCGAGCAACCAAAAAGTAAAGAAGAAGAATGAGACGGTAAAACTGAACCTCAACTCGCCGGCGCCATAATAAGACTGAAAAATTACTGGTTGACCGCCGGAGAACAACATTCAACTGAAGTGCAACGAAGTAATATGTGAACAAAAACAAAAGTTCGCAATGGAGTTCCCAGAAAGCCCTTTAATTTCAGACTGGTTTACGATTAATTTTGAAAA